TTCATTCTTGTCCCAAAATGGCACTTTGAGCTGCAGGGAACCTCACCCATTCGTACAGCTCGCCAGCATGCTCGTGACCTAAACCTGTCTGTACACCTCTTGACACAGCCATCCCGCTTGGGAGAATGTGTCCTTAAAAATAGTAATAATCAGCTTGATACGCAAACACCTACCTATGAGTCGGTATTTATTTCACCCACGTTGGTGAGGGAGCCTGACCCCCAATTTACCTGTCTGGTAATTCCCTTGTTCGTGATTTTGGTGTCAGAGGTATTCTGGACGCCTAACCTAAAGAAGGTGGGATGCGCTTCCCCTTTTTCTGTTCTCTGAACGAGCTTGCATGAAAATTGTTGCTTGTTAAATTCTGAAGAATTCATCATCGAAGCCATCTGTGCATGGAGATGTCTGACACGGTTGTTTTTTAAAATTATGTTGGTGCCAATGATGGTGCCAACTTGGGCTAGTGAAACAACGTGCTCCACAACTAGACTGAAGAACCAAAGGACAGCAACTTGTCTGTTCCCCTTCCCTTAACTCCCCAGTAAAATCTTAAAAGAAAAAGAAAAATGAAAAAGCGCTGACACTCTCTGATCAAGCAGTTCCACTTTGGGGACATAGCTTGAGGACATAATTGAATAGAACTGCACAGATATAAGCAAGAGGATGTCCTTGGCTGTGGAGGTGGCTGACGGGAATGGAATTCTCGGCTCCTGTGTGTGAACCTGCCAGGGGAAGGGCTGCTGGCGTGGCTGCCTCTGGAAGCTCCAAAGGTATCCTTAGGGCTCTTTTTCTCTCATCTCTGCCTTTGTCTGAACTGTCGCCGGCGGGCACGTCTCCTCTGGAGGCAAGGCGGCAGTGTGCTGTGCACTGAGCAGCCCCAGGGAGCGCGTCCTCCAGTAACCACTGTCTGGTTCGGGACACATGTGCGTGTCTGAGTCACCATGGCCAGTCACCAAAAACAAAACATGATGTGTGTGTGGTTATTTTCCCCTTTGACCTAATAGTACAACTAATCCCCACCTACCCTTCAGGTTCCCGAAATGTTAACATGCTGTTGCCGTTTGCTCTCCCCTTCTCTCCTCTCCCCTCTGTAGCCTTCATTCACAGGGCCTCATCTGTGTGATGCCCTCCCTCCTCCGTGCTTGCAGTTTCATTTGCAGTTCTGTTTCTGAATTAGAGAGATGGCTACTTAGATCATTGCTTTTCCATTGTTTCCCCTAGTACATGAATTTGTCTTTCTTTTTTAAGATTTTATTGGGGAACTGGGGAAGGGGAACAGCATTGAGGAATCGGGGAAGGGGAACAGACAAGTTGCTGTCCTTTTGTTCTTCAGTCTATTTGTGGAGGACATCGCTTCACTGGCCCATGTTGGTATTATCATTGCTCTCTTCCCGGGTGATGTAGTCGATCGCCGGCCTGCGTCATCTCTAGTACATGAATTTTAAGACTATAAAATTTTCCTTCATCACAGCTTTAGCTGCACCACACCAGTATCGATAAGTCCAAATGTTCTTTATTGTTCAGTTTAAACTATTTTCTACCTTCCGTTGTGATTTCTTCTTTGACGTGTGGGCTACGTGGAAGCCTATCGCTTATTTTCCAAACTTTTGGAGAACTTTCTATTTACTTTTCCTCCCAGAATTCTGTCTGGGACCATTTCCCTCCTGCTTGAAGAGTTCCCTGTATATTTCTCTAAGTTCAGGTCACTTAGGACACATTCTTTCAGTTGTTGTTTGTCGGAAAAAAAACACTTGTCTTGTGTCTCCGATTTTGAAGAATGGAGGGCGTTGAGACTTAGAGAATGGAAGTTTAGGAGTCGCGGACCCCTAGGGGTGGCTCCGGGAGGAAGTTGCTGGTTAGGTGTGGGGCCGCACAGAAGACTGGTGTCCTCAGTCACTTACTGGGGGCTGGCCAGGAGCCAGGCTGAAGGGGAGGCTGCCAGGCATCTCCTGGGGCGAGGATTCCAGACCTGCCCTGTCAGGGTGCGGGTGCACTAAAGAAGCACACATCTGGGGCTTGGGATTTTGGGGTCCCCGGACAGCAGGCCTGCTCTTCCTGGGCCCGGAGCTGCTGTCTTGCGGGTGGCTGGAGGGGGTGGGGAAGAGCCTGAGACAGTGGCACACGGGGCCGCCCCTGCTTTCTGCCCAGGATCACTGCCTGTCCGTGCTGCGGGAGGAGGTCCAGCGCCTGTCCAAGCTGGAGGAGCAGGTGCAGAAGAAAGATGGAGCCATCTTGGCCCTCCAGGAGGAGAGGGAGACTCTGAAGAAGCAGCTGCAATACCTCCTCAGATGCGAAGGTCAGGGGACACCTGTGTGCCCAGGCATGAAGGTGAGCTGGGGCCCTGCTCCCAAGGTGCCTGAGCCTCCCGGGGACCCGTCTAGACTCAGGCTCCTTTCCTGTAACATGAGGCCCAGCTCCGCTGACATCCTGGAGGATGGAAGGCCCCCTGCAGGTGGCGTCCCCAGACTCCTGGCTGTGGCCCCGAGTGTGGCGGTCACTTGGATTAGCCTGACCTGTTCTAACTGCGGGAAGTCAGTGTCCTTGCCTAGAAAAAGGGCTTGGGGACGCTGTCCCTCCCCAGGTCTGGGCAGAGGACTGGACTAGACAGGTCCAGGTGGGGCCCAGGGACAGCTCTGCGTGGCGCTGGTGAGCAGTTGCCCGGTCTTTCTGAGATCTGATTTCTTTCATACTTGAGGCTACAGCCAGATTGCCTGCTGGGTGGGGGCACGCCTGAGTGGGGGTGGGAGGCTTCAGACCATTGCCGAATCCCCTGGACGCTTCCAAAGAAAACTGCCCAGAAGCCGATGTGGGCAGGGGAAAGCAGGAGTCTGCGGAGGCGTGGAAGCGTTGCCCAGCCTCCTCAGGGCTGGGAGATCGGTGTGAGTGGGTGGAGCACAGGGCAGTGACGTGCCAGGTGGCCACGTCTGAGGCGGGCCCCGCGACTCTTCCAAATGACCGTACTTGTTACTGCAGGGCCACTGCCCCCAGGGCTGCCACCTGGGGTTCACCAACCCCCTCCTGATGTGGAGAGGCTGCTGTCTCCCTTCCAGGGAGCTGAGGGAGCCGTGTGAGGCCCTGAGGCTCCCACGGGCGTCTTGCAGGAGCCTGAGTCGCTGCCCAAGCCATATGCAAGGCTGAGCCTCCTGAAAGCCTTCTGCAGGGATGACGAGGAGCTGCAGCATTGGAGGCAGGTGCGCTGGCCGGGCAGCTGACCAAGGGCATCGGGGTCCCCCCTGCAGCCCTCACCTGCTGGCCCTTTGCCAGGCACAGCCCACGGTCACCCTGGAGGGGAACAGGTGAGGGTGGTGGGCAGCTCCCTGAAAAGCAGTTCCCCTGAGCCCTCCGGGGTGCTGGTCACTTGCAGTCCCCAAGACTGAGGCTGGATGCCTGGGCTGGGGTGGTGGCACGGTGCCCAGTGTGCTCCCTGCCCCTGCGCTGCCCCGGGGTGCCCCCAGGCTCCGCCCAGCACCCCATCCCTCTTGCAGGTGCAGGAGGAGTATGCCACGGTGTGCAGCGTCAGGGACCTGGAAGCAGGCTTTGAAGAGGAGGAGGTCCTGGAAGGGGAGGCCGAGAGGGCGGCGGACGAGGGAGCCCAGGGCGGTGCGGGCTGGAACGGGGCTGTGGAGCTGGAGGAGGAGGTGGAATTGGAAGAGGAGAAGGGGCAGGACGGTCAGGGCTGTGAGGCCCGCAGCAGGGGAAGGACCTGCTCCCTGGACGAGTTGTTTGAGGAGGAGCTGGTTGCCCGTCTGGAGGAGTACGAGCAGCTGGTCCAGGAAGTCCAGCTCGAGCTGGAGGTCACCAGGACAGAACACTGCCTGGCAACAGGTAGGATGCTGGAGTACACGGCGGCGGGACCAGTGGCCCGGGCCCAGCAGCTGGGCACCCCAGGCGCTGCCGCCTTTGCCGGGCAGGCAGGGTGGGCACGGGTCCGCCCCGTCCCTCTGAGCTGGGAGCCATGTGTGGGAGGGTGGGAGGGCGCTGTGACCCCAGCCTGGTCTCCCCCACCATCGTCATCATCCCCTCTCTCCTTGCCCGCTGCTCGCTCAGGAGCCACCATGTCTTTACAACGACAAGTGGATGTCCTAGAATCCCAACTGCAAAAGATGAGCGCCGAAAACGAGCTGCTGCACAAGGAGCTTCGAGAGCGGACCCGTCAGTTACAGGCCATGACAGACAAGGTGGCAGTGTCCTTCATCCCGCCGGGCACCCACGTGGCTTCGCTCGCCTTCCTAGCAGCTCCGGAGTAGGTGCCAGCCATCCCATCCCACCGATGGAGATGCTGAACTTAGGGAGCTGAAGTGACTCTTCCAGGGCCCCACCCCCACGCCCCACGCTGTCCCCTTGGCTCCCAGCCAATTCTCGGGCATCTCCTGGCCTGAGTCCCAGGGGTGAGGGCCCCACCCATGCTTAGAGGGGTTGCCACTCTGCTGCGTTGACTCCTCGTTCAGCATCTTTACTTTTTATTGGATAGAAGTGTTTCACCCACATAGCAGAAAGAACCAGAGTTCCACAGGCTTGTGACACGCGGAAAGGGAGACTCCCACCTTCTTCGTCTCATTTGCTCACACTCCAAGGTGACGGACGGCTTCCAGCTCTTCCAGCTCATTCTTTAGAAACCACCCTCCAAGTCTCTAGATAGTACGCTTCTCATGTCCAGACTAGCTTTCCTCCATCTTAGCATTACCTAATGCTTTCCTCAGTCCCCCGCCGCCCCTTCCCAGTCCCATTCCAGCACAATGTCAGTGAGCCGACACTTGCCACCGTGAGGACAGCTATTGGTCGCACAGGCACATAACTGAAACACAAGTCTGTGAAACAGTCTGAAGATTCATAAACCACGTTTTAAGACTGCTGCCTCCCACATCTTTCTCTTTCTTGATCTACTCGCTTATTTTCTCTGGAGCACATCCTCTAGTATTTTTTTGAGAATGGATGAGTCGGGGTAAACTTGGGGGATGCCATATGTCTGCAAATGTCTTTATTCTACACATTAATACCATCTGGTTGGGTATAGAATTCCAGCTTGGAAAGCATGTCCCTCGGCAGTGTTACGGCATTTCCCCAGGTGTCCTGGCTTCTGGGGCTGCCGGTGGGAAGCCCAGAGTCACCCTGATTCTCACGCTTCACACATCACGGTTCTGAGTGTCTGGGTCGCTTCCTCTCTGGAAAGTTGCAAGATCCTGTCTTTGTCCCACGTATCCTGGGGTTTCACAAAGTTGTGCCTTTTTGAGGGTCGATTTTCATTGTCCTGGGCACTTGGTGGCCAGCTGGACACCACTTGTGTCCATTTATTTGGAATTTTCCTTGTGCACGTTGATTTTTATTTCCTCCCCTCTCCGCTAAACTCTCCTCTGGCGTTCCAGTCGCGGGCCCAGCAGCCCCCTGGTCTGGTCCTGCTCCGTCCCTCCTGCTTTCCATCCCCGAGTCCTTTCCTTCTACTTTTAGGAGGTTCCCATGACTTAATCGACAGCCCTCCTCCTGAGTTTTAACTGTGTTTCAGCGTTTACAATGTCCAAGGTCTCTCTTTTGTTCTCTGAGTGCACGCTCCTGTTTTCTTTCTTCCGTTTCTCAGTTGCAGCATCTTCTCTTACCTTGATGAGCACCTTTTTGATCGTCATGGCTTTTAACTTCTTACACCGTTTCTATTTCCTGCAAGTTCCTTTTGTAACTTTGTTTGGTCTCTGTCATTCATGCAAGCACTTGGTTCCAATGTCAGAGCATGTGGTGGCAATTTTGTGCTTCGCGACACAGGAGTGTTGTATGCATTTCAACCGAGAATTCAAAGGTAGTCGTTTCAGGCCTTTCCTCTTGGTTTGGTCACATTCCCCTGGGATCTGGGAAACTGGAAGAATTTCTTGCCTGGGATGTGAAGGCCTCGCCCAGTGGGGAAAGTGGGCTGCGGCCCCACCCACATCTGGAGTCTAGGGTCTCCGCCCTCAACAGAGCCTGGCCTCTCCGCCCTCAACAGAGCCTGGCATCTCCCAGGCCAGAGACCCCCTGACGTAGGTCGCCTGCTGGGTGGAAAGGGGACTGCTCAAGGCCGGAAACCAGTCTGCAGCCGTTTCTGAATCTTCATCCCACCTTCTCCCCTGTTTCGCCTCCATATCCACAAACACTGGCACCACCAATTCCTGAGGCTTTCAGGGACTCTGAAAATTGTGAATTGGGCTTGTTTTCAGCTCTCCCTGCTGCTGTCTTAGGATCCCACATTTCTGCAGCCCCAGTGTTTTTGGTACTCTCTCCTCTTCTCCCGCCCTCTTCAGAAATGCCACTGCTTTCACCTCACTGAGGTTCTGGGAGGGAAGGGTGAGACTTGGGGTCCCCCCTGTAACCGCTCCCTGGAGTCCCCTGAGCCAGCTGCTCGTCCGCCTTCCAGTTCTCCAACCTCCGAGATGATAAGAAGCACCAAGAGATGATGGCGCTCATGGAGAAGGACAACCTTGTCCTCCGGCAGGTGACCGTGGGTGTGGTTAACCGGTGACAAAGCCACAGGGAAAGTTAGGTGGCACTCTCCTCACCGCTGAGCTGAGGGCCACTTATCATAGGCCGTGCCCCATTTGACAAACTCTGGAGGGCAAACACACACAGAGGCTGGGTCCAGATTTGATTTGAGGGACTCGGAGGGTGGGCCATCTTTGGGAAAGAAGGGGTGGGAACAGGTGTCACCAGTTTGGGCCAGGTGGACCTATTCCTCTGTCCTCCCTGGTGCTTCCCCAGCAAGTGTGGGAGCTGGAACAGGAACTCACCAAGAGGGAACACACCATCTCGCAGTCCAACGCCAAGGTCAGCCACCTGCAGGCCCAGCTAAGCCAGAACGAGAAGCACCTGGAGGGACAGA